AAGTTAGCAGAGAGTTAGCAGAGAGTTAGCAGTAAGTTAGCAGAGAGTTAGCAGAGAGTTAGCAGTAAGTTAGCAGAGAGTTAGCAGATGGTTAGCAGTAAGTTAGCAGATAGTTAGCAGATAGTTAGCAGAGAGTTAGCAGTAAGTCAGCAGAGAGTTAGCAGAGAGTTAGCAGATAGTTAGCAGATAGTTAGCAGAGAGTTAGCAGTAAGTCAGCAGAGAGTTAGCAGAGAGTTAGCAGTAAGTTAGCAGATAGTTAGCAGATAGTTAGCAGTAAGTTATCAGAGAGTTAACAGAGAGTTAGCAGAGAGTTAGCAGAGAGTTAGCAGAGAGTTAGCAGACAGCCAGAGGACTGTACCTTTCCCGGGCCAGGTGAGGAAAGCGGGAGGTGAGGGTGAGGGAGAGGAAGGAGGAGAGAGAGACGCTCGGTGAAGGGAGGAGATCCTGATCTGGTTCTCCTGGACACCCTCAGCAGGAGGAGGACACGTAGGAACAGTTTTTACTCCTGATCCAACTGCAGAACCATGAACCCAATCAAACCTGGACTCACCTGGAGGTTGGTCTTGGCTCTCTTCAGGACATCTCGGGTCCTGGACACTGGAGACAAACATTTGTCACATTTTGACAGAAACAACCAGACGTTTTACAGAGACCACCAGAGTGGACCTGGGCCCGTCTGACCCGGTTCTGATGCCAACAGAACCAGAGGACTCACGCTGGCTGACGATGAGGAGCTCCATGCTGTCCCTGTTGAGGTCGGAGGTCCTCAGTCTGTCCCTGGTCTCCTGCAGGACCGCCTCCTGCTGCGAGAGCTTCAGACGCAGAGAGACCACCTCCTCCATCAGAACCGGGTCCTGGACAGAGTTCTACAGATTATCAACCATCCTGGAGCCCAGGAACACTGAAGACCAGGATCTGAAGGACCCTAACCGGTCTGGATCCATCAGGGTCCGGCACAGCGGCTCTCCAGAACCGGTCCAGCAGAGAATGGGCCTCCTTCAGGATCTGGTTCAGGGCGGTGGAGTCCAGCAGCAGGTTCTGGACACATGCTGGGTCTGCAGGCTGAGGGTCAGAAAACAGGAAGTTACTTCTGGTCTCACCTGGTCTCACCTGGTCTCACCTGGAACAGGTGAGTCTCACCTGGGAGGTCTTCAGGGACCAGAGAGCAGCCTCCATGTGGAGCAGCAGGGCGCTCCCCTCCAGGAGCTGCTGCTGCAGAGCCTTGAAGTCCTGAACGTGTCCCACGGCGTGGCGGCCATGTTGGTGGGAGGAGCCACCTYCAGCTGGAACCGGCAGAGACGAGGTGTCTGAGGAGGAAATCACATTGTTTYTATTTTCTTTAATGTTTCAGGTGAAACGGAGCGTCTCACCTGGATCAGCTGTATCACCTGGACCACCTGGACCAGCTGGATCAGCTGTGTTCTGCTRGGATCGCAGGCGAGACAAGGAGCCGAAGGGTCCAGTGTCTCCAGACGGGACATTTTCTGCAGGAGGAAGCAGAAACCAGATCAAACAGAGGGGTTTCCTGGCTGCAGGGGGCGTGGCCGTCTCCTGAACCTGCAGCTCTCTGAGGTCAAAGGTCAAGGTGATGTCACAGCTCAGCAGCTGATTGGTTGACACCTGAGCGAGTGTTGTACCTGGGACTGTGCAGCAGGTCTGAAGCTGGTGGACCACACTGCGACTCTCATGTAGCTGCTGCCTCAGGACGCTGACCTCATGCTGCAGCCTGAAGACACAAACAGCATGACATCATTGTGTGTTTATGACATCATTGTGTTTTTACAGAAAGCATGACATTGTGTTTTTATGACATCATTGTGTTTTTATGACATCATTGTGTTTTTATGACATAATTGTGTCTTTACAGAAATAACAGCATGACATCGTGTTTTTATGACATCATTGTGTTTTTATGACATCATTGTGTTTTTACAGAAATAACAGCATGACATCATTGTGTGTTTATGACATCATTGTGTTTTTACAGAAAGCATGACATTGTGTTTTTATGACATCATTGTGTTTTTATGACATAATTGTGTCTTTACAGAAATAACAGCATGACATCATTGTGTGTTTATGACATCATTGTGTTTTTACAGAAAGCATGACATTGTGTTTTTATGACATCATTGTGTTTTTATGACATCATTGTGTTTTTACAGAAATAAAAGCATAACATCATTGTGTCTTTATGACATCATTGTGTTTTATGACATCGTTGTGTTTTTATGACATTGTGTTTTTATGACATTGTGTTTTTATGACGTGTTTTTATGACATTGTGTTTTTATGACATT